TGCAATTAACCAAATAGAAATCTGTTGAAGTTCTGTATTTATAATTTCATATAAATTATCTATATTTTAACTAACTTTAGAACTATTTATAATATCATTGACATAAAGTATGAAGAGCAATGGACCAAGAATACTTCCTTGTGGAATTCCACATTTCATGATTAGGTAATCTGAAAAATTGTTATAATATACTACTGTTTGTTTACGATCTCAGTAAATAGTTTTTTAGCCATTCAAGTGCAGGACCTCTAATACCATAATATGCCAATTTATGTAATAAAATTTCATGGTTTACTGCATCAAAGGCTTTTAATAAATATAGAAAAATACCAGCACATATTTCTTTGTTATCTATTGCACCTGAAATATTACCAGTTAAATGCGTTATAGCTAAGTTTGTTGAGTGATTAGATCGAAAGCCATATTGGTGTGGATAGAGAATTCTATGTTTATCAATAAATTCTAAAATTCTGTCATGTATTGCTTTCTCATGAAATTTAGAGAAAGATGGCAAAATTGAAACTGGTCTGTATTTAGTAAAAAGGGATTGATTTTCATTTTTGTAAATAGGAGTTAGTTTTGCTATTTTTATCTCTTGAGGCACAATACCAGAGCTCAGTCATAAATAAATAGGAAATGTTCAAGGCTCAGCAATTGAATCAATGTTATGCTTTATATTATCAATATATATTTGATCTGCACCAGCAGCTTTACCTGATTTTTTTAGAAAGATCGATTGACTAACCTCATTTTTTAGAAAAGTATGATAGGGTGCCTGTGGATTATGCAATTTACTAGCTAAATTTGGGCCAATATTTGTAAAGAATTCACAGAAGTTGTTAGAAATTTCTACAGTATCCTTATTTTCTTTATCGTTATATAAAAARGAAGAAGGTAGCGCAGCTTGCATCTTGCTTTCCTTTTGTTTATAATTTCGTTAAGAAGCCTCCATGTAGCCTTCAAATTACCTTTGGCTTTGTCTATTTCATACTCATAATAACTACGTTTAGGAATTTTTAATAAATGATTTAATTTATTTTTATGTTTCTTATATCTTAATTCATTATCCATGTACACAAGGACTATTGAGGTAAACTTTATGCAATTTACATTTTTTGTTTATGGACTTTAATAAACCCTTGGTCTTAGAGAAGTCTTATATTAGCAGTAAACCTTTTTTAACTCGTGGATAGAACGCGAAGGGTAGAAACAAGTTATTGTGAGGGTTCTAAATATTCGAATGAGTGACTCATGATTTACTCGTTCGCTCTCTCAACACAGCGAACCGTCGAGTGTTTTCAGGCCTCGCAAATCTTCGAATCCTAGTTCGATCCCGATAATTCCTTCATATTCTCTCTCTCACATCCCTTTAGGGCCTAGAAAACCATATAACTTTGCTGGGGAATAAATGAAAGAAATAGAACTCAAGACGATAGTCACGTATTCCAAAACAAGGGGGGGAAAAAGCAATACGTTTTTGGCCACCCATCTAGGTAGTAATCTCGCTCAACCTGGCTTGACTCTGTTTCCTTGAAGCCCAAGTTTTTTCCACTGGACCAAGATTCTAGGAAATTTGCACAACAATAGCCATGAAAACAATGCATCAGACAGACTAGATTATTTCTACTACAAATCAACGTGCCAGTGCGTGGCAGAGTGCAAGGGATTAGATGTAGATATGGTCTTAGGGCCGGCTTGTCTTTCCCCTGATGCTCGGCTAGAACACAATCCTGCGTATTACGTACACCAAAGGGCAGAGGGACTTATCGCCGTCATGTCCGAAGTCCATACGACGACCCAGCGGATGTCTCGGGGTATGGCATGAAGGCACTATTTTCTTTTTCTTTTTTGGAATTAATTATCAAAATCACTTTTGGTAGACGTGGGTTCGATCCCCGTCTTATCCAGATAAAGATTTCTTGTTTTCTTTTTAGCACCTGATCGCGATCGCGTGATCGCGTGATTTTTACGTTCATTGAATTCAAACCCTAGAAATGGATAGTCTTTTTTTGGAAAAAGTGACTACTTTTTCCTCGCATTCAGCATTATCAGTTAAGCAATGTTTAATATTTAAGACCCCGGGTAAAAATATGTGCGTTTACATGAGGCTTCGTGTAAACGCTCATCGTTTTCGCACCGTTTAATTTTGACCGTTTATACGAAAACGCACCATCGACTCGAAAACGCTCACAGGAGCTAAATGAGCATGCGCATAGTTCCTGAGCCTGCGATCTGCTTTTATTAGCGACGTTAGCGTTTACGAAAATACCCGGTCGAGTCATGGAAACGCATAGTCAGCGCTTTCAAAATTATCCTCTGAAAAGCATTTTCGAAAATAGGCGGCTAAAGGCCGTCTCCGTGTATACGGTAGGTCTAAACGGATAAAAAAATATGCGTTTACAAAAATATCCGGCTTCGTGTAAACGGGGCCTAAGTTTATGCTTATTATGACGTCATATCTAAATTTGTTACAGTAATGGAAATACAAACTCAATTTGGAAAATTATAAACCGCTGCTTGCCAAACAAGAAAACCCAAAATGCGCAGCCCATAAAGTCCTCCACTGGTCATGATTGTGAAGCGCATTGAGACCATGTAAAATGGGCTATATAAGAACCCCGTTATTATTATTATTATTAAAATGGTTATCATACTTGTAACAATCCTGAAGTCCTGGCTGATAGATTTAACAACTATTTTACATCTGTTGGATCAAGTGCTGCACAAAAAGCACAAAACCTTGCTATTGAACATAATATTCAATTAAATCCTCATGCTTCAGCACAAGAATCTACTGACAAGACATTTCAAGCTTCGTACTGTATCACAACAGGACGTAGAACAGGTTATTTAACATCTCCCATCAAAACAAAGCTTCAGGATATGATAAGATCTCAGCAAGAGTTCTCAATTTATATCAGTAATATATTAAGTGTTTGAAACGACAAATTTCCCTTAAGGAATAACGTTTAGGAGTAGATTTAGATTTCGGAGTTTGAAATAAAGAGGACTGAGTTTACAAGTAAAATCAATTAAGTCTTGAAATAGTTCTCTTAGAGAGTGTACTGAGCAGCTACGCGACACTTGCCAAGACCCAAAGTGGAAATCGCAAACTTCATTCAACAGAGACATTCTTATTACATGTCACAGATGATCTGCTGAAGGCCATGGATGACAAGAAGATCTCTGTGTTGGTATGACAAGTTATAACAAATTAATAGAATCAAACATTTGTTAGATACTAATACACCTCTTATTTTAATTCAGTCCTTTGTTTTCAGTAGAATGTTTTATTGTTCTACTGTATGGTCCAATACTAGTAAGAGTAATCTTCATAAATTGCAGTTGATACAGAATTTTGGGGCTAGAATAATGCTTGGGCTTAGGAAATGTGACCATATATCACCAGGTTTGAAATCTTTGAATTGGTTGTCTGYGAAGGAAAGACTGTATTTAAATGATGCCATCATGGTATTTAAATGTATTCATAACTTAGTTCCTGACTATTTACATAATAAGTTCGTCTTGCGTTCCAA